GACAGGGAACATTCCGCTCAAATTTCAGCTTTCCAAATTTTCTGGTTCTTGAGTTAGCAATTTTCTACCAGAAATTTTCATGGGCTGGACGTGAGTACCATACACACTGAAGGGCTAAATTTGACAATTGAAAGCTGTGCTTGCGCTGGAAACATTCCCTGAAACTTTCAGCCTCCCAGTTTTCCTATTTTCCTAGTTGACCATTTTTCCGCCAAAAACTTTCACAGGGCCGTGCGTAAGAATCACGCAAGCCTGGAGGCTGAATTTGACAAATTGTGTTGTACTTGTGCTGGGAATATTCACTGGAAATTTCAGCTCCCCAGCTTCCGTGGTTTCCGAATTAGCCAGTTTCCTGCCAGGAATTTTCACGGGGCCGTACGTGAGAGCCACGTATGCCCGGGGCTGAATTTGATAAATTCCAGTTGCACATGAACTGGGGACATACTCTTAAAATTTCAGCATTCTAGCTTTCCTGGATCCTAAGTTAGCGATTTTCCAGCCAGGAAACTTCACGGGGCAGTGCTTGAGAGCCACGCATGCCTGCAGGCTGAATTTGAAATCTTTGAGTTCTGTACGGACGGAGAACACAACTACAAAGTTTTAGTTTTCTAACTTTTCTGGTTCCCGAGTTAGCGATTTCCCCACCAGAACTTTGAGAGGCTTGTACGCCGGGCCTAAACGTGCGTGAGAGTCGGTGCCGCAGTCCTGGGGCCGTACTTGGTTGGGAAACCTACTGGCAAAATTTTGGCGCCGGAGTTTGCTTTGGTGCCAAGTCGAAATACCCGGACACACACACACACACACACACACACACACACACACACACACATACACACATGCCCACACATGCATGCGTACACGCACATATACATATGCGTGCGTACACACACATACACAAATGCATACATACACACACAGCGAGGTCGTCACAATATGCGTTTTTGCATTTGCATATAAGGAAAAACGCATATCAAATGAACATTTCCATGTAAAAACATAGAAAATTTTAATATACCATCATCGTTTAATGCATATTTGATATCTATAAATAGAGCTGATTTTCGTACTCACAGCTTATTGTTCACTGAAGATGGCATCTGATAAACAAGTGGCCCCGCCTGTCGAAGACGTTGTCTCACCGGATGAATTCGGTGAAAGTTAAATAAACGGCGTATAATCATGAAACAAAATTTCTAAGCCAGTGCTCATCCATAATACTTCCTCTTCCTTGCATGTGGTGCTGGTAGCAAGATGCATCAACTAGCACTGAATTGTTTTGAATGAATCGCAACAGCACTTTTTTGATGTCTTAAAAATTTTAAATCACTTACGGTAATGGCACGAGTTGGAAATATAAAATTACGTTGAGAAAATAAGCCCCTGCTAAAAAATCCAGCAAGATACTGAGTTAAAATAACCAAAGCAATGTAAATGAGGTGAAAAACTAAACCAAGTTGAATAGCAATCCACCTGACAAGCATAGTTATGGGCTAAATCCAAAAAGAGTGTAGGATAGGCATGCCGCAATACTAAGTAAAAGTGAGATCAGGAAGTACGAAAAAGAAAACGACATAGGAGAAGCGAGCTGTTCAATTATCAGAATAATCACTGTAACTTCGAATGATGAATTATTCTTATTAGTATTGATTAATGATGAAATTCAATGATGAAATTCATTGTTTTTGAAGCATTTATAATGGAAAATGCGATGATGTTGGCCGCAGTGCATGATTTGAACGCAATGATGGACCCAGCCGATGTTTTTAAAACGCCTATTGCGAAACTCAAGGAACCTGGTAATTCATTAAAATGCATAAAAGTGAACTGCGCGTTAGTATATCCAGCTGAGTTTTTCTGCTCCGATGGAAAAAAGTTAATGATGAGAAAAGTTGCTCCAGATGGTAAAATGTCAGTTCGGAGGCAAAAGCGGCGATAAGCGGAATGGCATGAAACGCTGAAATATAAAATACGGGCTTAGGCTTAGTTGTGGTACTAAACTGCATGTGATTTAAAGGAGTTTAATACCACAACTAAACCTAAGCCCGTATTTTATACTTTTTCGGTCTAAATAGCTTATCAAGTAATTTTCCCCCTCTTTTATATTATAATAATATTTTCCTTATAAACTACATAGGTAATAACGGCTTCTCCCGTACAGCTTGCAGCCTTTTAGCATTTTTCATGTTTTGTTGGCTCCTGATGTGCTACTCTTTCAAAAACTGTTTTTTATTACCGCTTTTGAGGATTACTTGTGTACTAACGGATCAAATTCCTCTTCTAAAGAGAAAGGTCAGGTGCAAATTTTACACTATTTTAAAACCCTATGAACAAATTTCAGCACAAAAAGCGGCGGTGGCTAACAAACATAATGTAGAACTAGCGGCAAATGAGATCACGGCTTCAATGGACCAGGAGGAGGAAGATGCGAAAACTGCGACCGACGTTGGCCTCACAATGCAAACTTCCATCTATAGCTTTGATGCACTCAATCCGCAACGTATTTATTTGAACTCTTTAAACTCCAAATCGAAATTCCTAACAAATCAGCATGA